AAGAAGCATCCGATCACTCCTGTCCAGCGTATGTACCGTCGTCTGTATCTATATTCCAGGTGCAGGCATGATGCAAGGTTCTAAATGCATAGCATTTTAATAGTTGCACCTACTCGCAAGTGTTTCGGCAGGGCTGTCTGCACACCTACTGCGCATGCTCGCGTCTCGTGGCAACTGTCGCTCCCACCGCTCTCTTGCCTTGGCAGCGTCTGCTAGTAAAAAACTGACTGCTCTGTATACGTAGGCACTGGATCGGGCTTTTGAAATTCAGTCAAAGGCGTCTTTACTTAGCTTTTGCTTGACTTGACGCTTTGACTCAAGTAGATGTGATGGAAGCAACAGAACCTTCAATCAGTAGTGGGGCACCACCCAACATCAGCGTCCCACCACTCAATGAAGGAAACTCTTCCCCTTAATTCAATAAATATGAATATTAAAGGCAAAATAACAATTGAGCATTCCCAAACCTTACCCAATTACACATTCACGCGATACCCCCACCACTCCATGACGCATTTACTGTAGTTCGCGTTGTTTCGTGGCATCATATTTTTGTTGTTTAACTCTTTTTTTGAAATCACTGATTTCACTGATGTACTGGTTGTCGCAATTGTGGTAGCCTATAGCATTGACATGACTGAGGAAATTTCTGCTCGGCAAATTGTCCTTCACATTGGCTGTAGCATTCCTTAGCTTCCATGTTGGTACATCCACTATTTTGATATCAGTTGCTTCTAAATATTACACGGAATATCTGACTTTTTAACCGTAACTTGACTCGCGTTTGTCTACGCCACGATTTCGGCTCGACTTGAAGGTCGTTTGGTTTATCTAGGCTAGAACTGCCATCACCAGAAGCTTGTGGCTACTCATGTCTTTTAATAATATTATTATTATTATTATTACTGTCAAATCTCGATAATTCGAACTCTAAAGTGCCTGGAAATATGTTCGACATAAAAGAATTTCAAATTAATCAAAGCTAAGTAAAAGGAGGGCTCCCCATACAATGGCGCATGTGCATTGAGCTAACACACGAGGGGGAAGATTCAGAAGACTTGCATATATTCACAAATTACAGGACATCCGTTTTTAATTGAAGTTATTGTGATGCACATCTGCACAAGTTTGCCTTGCAGCGAGTCAATCAATTTCGCATGCAGCTTGCAAAGCATTTCTACTTCATCTTCAGCATTCTCCTAAAAAGAGAAGTTGAGCGCGGAAATGTCCAGCGCCGGCACTCACTAAAGACGACGACAATGACTGCGTAGCCACGGCCAGGCTAGACTTCACCTGCACGCTCCCTTCTTACGGCCTTCGCAATGGGTGTAGTACATGCCTCTCGCCACTCCTTTGAGGGGGGCGCTGCAACCCTGCCATTTTTCGCCCTCTCTGTGCTGCACGTGAACACGTTCAGGCACGCTTCTCCACTCACCGCGTGCTGAAAAAGAAGTTGCTTAATAATTGAAGACGCTCTAATGGTTTATGGCATTGCTCATACCTGATTGTGCTTGAACCTATACACCTCTGAAGAGTGAACTTCGCTGGCAGTGTCACAAGCCCCGAAGTGTGTGCATGATCGTAGCCTCTTCGTGACAGAAAGCGGCATACCACACACCCCATACAAAATGGAGGCGGAAATGTAGGATGGAGGCGGAAATGTAGGCCCGTGTGCTCAGATTTGGATGCACATTAAAGAACACCAGGGAGTCAAAATTTCCGGAGCCCTCCACTACAGCGTCTCTCATAATCATATGATGGTTTTTGGACCTTAAACCCCACATATTAATCAATCTTTTTGATACAAAAGAAACACTGTCTTCTGTTCTTTCTGTGAATATGTTGCAATTTCCTTAACGCATGCGTGGTGCTTGTTTTCGCGATAATATTGCGACATATTATTTTCTTCTTTCAGCAATCACTGCACTTCCTCGCATTTTGAACGATGGTGTGACACTTAGGAGCGCAATCGTCCTATCATAGTCAGGTATCGACCCACCCAATAAGCGTTGCTGTTTATTTGCGTGCAAACACTTGCTGCTTCTTAGTCGGTGAAAGCGTCGTGTGAAGTTGCGCAACATCCAGATCTTTCGTTGGTCTCCACTTTTCGCTTCTTTGATGTTTGATGTAGGGGCCAAGCTCGTGAAGCAGGGTCTTTGCGAGGCTTCTATGCACTTGAAATCATGTAGGAAAGATAGTCCTCGAAAAGGGTAGGCGCGCGTGCAGTCAGGAATAAGTTTTCTGATGTGAAACGCAGGCACATAGTCTTCATTGCACATGTGTCTGCTGCATAGAACTGTTGATGCAGACTTTTCGTTGATGATGAGGTTGTCTCTCGCAATATGCTTTTGTCGCTTGCCACACAGCTCAGTATTGTTTGGGAATTCGTGAGAAGGAACACCAGGTGGTTTTCTTCCCGAACGGGGCTTGCAATACGGGAAACACGGTGAAAGAGCGGCTGTGACTGAACACAGCAATAAACCTTCACGCAGCTAAAATATATTCATGTGCGTGCATTCATGTGCGTAATGCACGAACTGAAGGTTGTGCGACTGCCTTCTCGGCTAAAAAAATTACTGTAGGCTGAACACTGACAAAGCACCGAATGAAATGGAGCCGGGGTACGTAAATGCCAGAATAAAGCAGCCACATTACAGATAAAAGGCAATTCACCACAATCTGCTTGTAGCAATAAGCCACAAGGGAATTTACAGATTTTTCAGAAAAACAGCTGCTTACTTGCCGAAAAGTGGTAATGTTGTCAATTTCTTTTTCTGAACATGTTCTACGAATTAGAAAGATAGTGCAGAACTCACTTGCACTAGGGGCAAGCGGCTTGTGATTCCAGGATCCACTGTAGCTCATTTGGCTTTTCTTTTTCAGCCAGACGTGAAGGCTTGTGCGGTGAAATAGGAAAATAAACATTAGTGGGATTACTTTGATTTCATGCTGACTTTCTAATGCTTCTTTGGCAACATTTATGGGAGACTGATTATGATTAATTCTAGAATGTGGTGCTCAGATTTACCAGTTTGATTTGATTTTTTCCACAAATTCTAGTATAATAATTACATAGCTCATTTCACAGCACATTTCGTATAACTAGCCACCTTTTTATTTGTTTGTGTCCTGAAATATGCTTCGTTCTCTGTGAAATATAAATTGTAATATTTACGAGATGTTTCGCCATGCTTTGAACTCCGATTGGTGTATGGCAAATTTTCTATTTGCTCCTAAAACACCAATACCTGCTCCAAAGTATGCTCCAAATGTGAAAAGTTGCTTCCATCACTGTGTGTGTGTGTGTGTGTGCGTGTGTGTGCGTGCGTGTGTGTGTGTTCTTTTAGTAGCTCAAAAAGTACTCGCCTCTTTGGGAAAATGTAAATGGGGCAGACGTGCAGATGTTGAAATGTCATCTTTCTTCTATTTTCAACAATGTATTAATTGCGTGTTCTTTTTTGTGTGTGATTTTTTTGTGGTGATTGAAGAAAGCCCGCGAAATATGAAAAATAACACATGACTGTGCTCACCCCCGGAAAAGAAAGTGCCCTCAAATAATCTACTGGAAGCAACCGCTTTTAACTTTTTCCGTTGCAAGAGACAGCGTTTTGCATATTGGCAAGAGTACAAGTTGGGTGCTAACATCATGTGTCGCAGTTTTGCAGGGATTTCTTCTGCTTCATGTCGCTATCAGCATTCAAATCACTGCTCTGATTACAGTGATAACAGCTGAAGATGGGGGGGGGGGGAGTGTTCAAGGGAATCAAGTGGCAGATAGTGTGATCCCCATATTTTTTTCTTTTTACATTTCCTCGATTGCGACTGGCTATCTCAAAGTGAGCCTTTTCTTGTTACATTTTCTGGGTTGCCACTGGCTATCTCAAAGTGAGCTTGTTTGAGGGCGCTTCTTTCTGATGCATGCAGTGGTCTAGTCACGGGCTATTTTTCGTATTTTGCAGGCTTTCTTAGCAGAAAAAAATGAGCATGCAGTTAGAACGTTATAGAAAATAGATCAGAAACATCTAGTTTTAAAATGCACACATCTGCCTCATTGACATTTTGATAATTAGGTGAGTACTTTTTGAGTTACACGTATGAGTATTACTAATTATTTGTCATTAATGGAGAAATTAGTAGCAGCTACTGCAGTACACTGGAAACCATATGCACTAGCTTTGCTTCACGTAATGCCATTTCTCTTTTTTAAACCGCTCTTCACGTTAATTGGGACGCCCTGTATATATTAAGAGGTGAAGTTCTGGGGGTATGGTACGTATAACAACAAATTACATGTGGGTACGTGTACGAGAGAGCAATACTTTTATGTCTAATTAAAAGTATTGCTTTCTCATTCGTGTAACCGTTTTTACTTTTTCTTTGAGAATTGCTCAAATTATGCTAGTAAATGCAGTATTTCAGTAAGGTAGCAGACATGACACTGGGTAAGGAGGACATCATCTACAAAAAAAAAATTGGGCAATGAGGACAGTCCTGGTTTTTTTTTCTCATCTATGCATGTGTGGCAATGGTCTGTGGGGCCCCTCAAGCCCTTTGTCGGCTTGTGGGGGGGCGAGTCCCTTGTCAAAGACCAGACAGCAATGATTGGCCTGCCCATAGTGCCCCCGTGCCCTTCCAATGGCACTGGTGGTCTCTCCGCTTGCTACATTATATTTGCTAATTCAAGGGGGAGGTGGGGCGGGCTTTGTTTTCACTGTAGAAAAAATTCAGTTAGGCTATGGTAGTAGATGCGTAAAAGTGGATGAAGAATCTGCCATTCCATTAGTGGGATCTTAACCCACAACCTTAGAATGCCTTGTCATGTGCTATACCTCTTTTGGGCTGCTGCTTTAGTAGAGGCCGGTACAACAAGCACAGCCCAGAATTGCATGTGGGGATCACTTTCTTTTCTGAAAGAGGTGGTCGGTACGGCTATACTACTGTGAAACAGCAGGAAATATGGGGACACAAGAAGACGCTGATGCTACTTCTTGTCCTTCCAGCAAGGACAGTGGTGTGGTGGGCGAGGAGGGTGCAGCTGGTGAGAATGCCGCCGAGGACGCCAAGGAGATGACCCTGGACGAGTACAAACGGGAGCAGGAGCAGAAGCGGTCTCGCGCCAGCTTTAACATCCGCAAGCCAGGTGAGGGTGGTGAGGAAAAGGCCGAGTGGAAGAAGATGTATGTCCTCAAGAAGAAGATCTCTGACGAGGACGGTGAAGAAGAGGAAGAGGAGGAAAGTGAGGTGGGCACTGCTTTGTTTCTATTCCGAGTATGTACTACAGTTGACTCCCGATAATTAGAAGTCAACAACTGGTCCCATCAGTTTTGCATTCTCGCCTACGGGAATTAAATGCTCGATGATTCCAAACATCCATAATTGGACAGTGCACAGTTCCTTCAAATAAATTTTTAGTTGTTAGACCAGCGCTTGTCCTGTTTTTTTTTGTGGGATTGATTTTGTGTGCTGTTCAATTATGGACATGTTCCAATTTGCCCGCTTTTCAGTTCTACAGATAATTCCAAGTTAAAAGATCGTAATGTTGGTTGATTCAAAGTTATTTCTCATTCAAGAGCGTCGAGGCAACCGTAGTTTTTTCAGTGAGGAATTTTTCATGTGCCAAAGCAGCTGCAGGAACGCTTTGTTGCCACCATTGCCACTTCCTGCAGTGCCACAGCTAATGAAGCGGCCATTTACTTTCGTGAACGCCGGGGCACCGCGTTGATCGCATCGGCCAACTAGGTCTCGTTCTTTCGTTGTGATGTGCCGAGGGGTGGTCGACTGCTTCAGCTGTGATTGTTTGCAGAAAAAAACAGCGTCAACTTCGTGTGGAGCGGCCACTTTCTCCAAGCGATGCAAAAATCTTTGAAAATCCCTATTCTCTGTGGCTAACTCCTCGCACGTCCAACAACATGCCGACAAAGCGGTCGCACTGTTCAGGGCCGTAATCACTGCAGTTGGCGAGCGCGACACATCAGGCGCACTTGAGCACGAGACACCAACACCAGCCTCACTTGTGACGGTGGAGTCCTGCACCGATGGTGTAGCAATCTTGACGTTGCGATAAGCATCGATGCAGTCGTCTTGAAGAGACGAAGCAGAAGCTACATAGCATCTATGCGACTGTCGCCCGTGCATTGGCGCGGCAATGAGCTTTACCATGCCTACGAGCTTCATCTGACATTTTCTTGAACTGAACACGTGCCGAGCCCCAAACTTTGTTCTGCCCGTTGTTAGTGTCAGCACAACAATTGGCATCTCATGCACAAAGTGAAGCATTGATGAGCACACCTGAGAACCGACAGTGATGGAAACTGGACACTCAAAAACTTCTAGCATTGCAAGCACCAGAGCAGACAACAAGCCAGCGCATACAGTGAAATTTCGATATAACGAACTTCAGGGGACCGCAGAAGTTTGTTCGCTAATTTTAAAGGTAATTTTAGTGAAGCTCAAAAATGAACCATAAGTACTTATTTTTAACCGACCAAAACAACTTACCTTTACAACGATAGGTTCTTGAGCTCGTTTTTTCACAAGAAAAAATAAGCAAGTTTTTCACAAGAAAAAATAAGCAAAAATAAGACTGCGGGCAGGAACGACGCGCAAGCGCACTCTTGGTGACGTGCTTCTTCGCAAGGAATGTACCACATCACCCGCTAGCTCCTCTGAATATTGTACGGGCATTTTACGCATCGGTAGCGGACAACACGGTCAAGCTCGTCACCCCCCCCCCCCCCCCTCACTGCCAAAGATCGCTCGCAACAGCGGCTAGCAGTTTCGCGCGTAGTCATTCGAAAATGCGATGCCAAGTGCAGTGCGTGCCGATTTTTTGTCTTCGTAGTTACACATTTCGCGCATCGTCATCGAACGCCACCGGCAAGTGCATTTACGCGCCGGCTGCACTGTCCACGCGGCCGCGCACCCCACGGTCATATGGAGTGCTGTCAGTAAGCTTTTGTGATGCGATTCAGACGTGCTTGGAGCCGTGCTTGATATCGCCACGAACGTCTATGAATGTGCCGAGGTTAATGAATTGCTGTAGATTAGTTTCCGCGACCGGCTGTAAGATGATGCATTTCACGGCTAGAGCGGCGAAAGAGCATGTGTGAATCAGGGGCTCGAATTTTTATATGGCCGTTTCGTGTCATTAACTATACTGCTAGAAATTCCCGTGCCACCAGTCTTCTGCCCATAACTTTGTTATTTAGAAGGAAGGCATAGGCCGTCATGATGTGATCCATTTTTCTGATGCAATAAACTTCTCTCCTAATAAAAAAAAAGTTCAGTGAATATTTGTAATCAAGTACTTAATTACGCTAATCACAACTTCAGCACAAAAAAAGTATGTGTAATAATTTCAGTATATGGTTTTATTCAATTACAATCTTTTCTGTCATACCTTTCACACCACTCCTTCATACAAAGAACTTGGTTTAAAATCCATACTTGTTCTTTGTAACTCATGAAAAGGAGTAAATCATGAAAAGAAGTCAAATATCACAAGACAAACCTGAGATCACAATTTTTAGGTGTCTTAGAGACGTAAAGAAAAGTTGAACCTTTAAACGCAGCTTTCTCAATTCTGTTTTTTTTTTTTTTTACATTATGCTCAGCCCCTCCACATGGTTCAATGAAGAAATAATTTGTTTCTCGTAAAGTAATCGTGCTATAGCTTCAAAATCTTTATGGAAGCACTGTGAGGTTATTTTTAGTGTCTGTACCAATTTTCATCAATATTCAACGAGAAACAAAAAAGTTCATTGAAAAAAGCCTGTCGAAAACTTCGACAGGCTTTTTCTCACAAGTTTGTTTTGGACATTGTGCATTGCTCGTGGAAAGAGTAGCACGAGAATGACTGGACCGATTTTGATTCTGTTTTTTTTCCCTGAATCCCTGAACACTGCTTGTGGGTACAGCAATCTTCAATTTCTGTTTTGTGGCCCCGTTATTTTTCTAGACGATGATTTGTTCGTGCCACTGTTTCTGACAATGTCTGTCGGCAGCCATGATGATCTCTAAAAAAAAAAAAGAGAACTTATTAAAAAATTCTGAGAGTGTCATACCCTGTAGCTTTCTTCTGAGTAAAGATCAACACAATTCGCACCTTCCTGGCATGTTTTGTTGCAGCGCTAGGCTTTCCACGAGCAGACCATGTAATTGTATCGTGCAGCATTATGTAACTTGAGAACTACTGAAGCTATCATGATGAAACTGCATATTTCCCTATTCTAGACACTTATGAGTATGCATGCCAAATTTCATTGCTGTAGGTCAACAAATAAAGTTTTTTTTCAAAGCCACCTCCCCCCTTAAGCTTGTTCAAATTCGATTGAAAATATGACCAAATGACTATTTGAACAAGCCTGGACTAATACTTATTTTCTGCACTCCCAGTTTTTGCACTCCCAGACAAGGTTTCCTTTTCATTGCGTTTTCCTTCTGCTAAATATAGATCTGTGTATAGATGAAAGGTTTGGGTTTCATGGCACTCTGGAAAAGCTCATCCACCCCTGACCCCCCCCTCCCCCATTTTTGAAGCAAAGCAGCTCTTTGACTAGCCTGTCTAACGCCGTTCCTCCGTACGAACGTGTTGCAGTTGTTAGCACGGTCCCAAGTAAGTCATGCTGCTGCTGCACGTTGTTGTCATGCTCCCCTCGCAGTGCGCACTTTCGTCACTCTCCCACGCCTGCCGCGCGCTGCCTTGGCGCACACAGCTGCCGCCTCGTCTGTTCATCCGCAACACCGCCGACTCGCCAGGTTTACGCGCAGTAAACCTGACGCATGCCTAATGTATGCATTGAAACATGTCTGCACGTGTCACCTACAAGACCTACATTGGCCATCGCTTCAGACGAATCTTCCAGCTCTCACCGCAACACTCACGTTAGGGCCGTTCAACCCGTGATGCCACCTGTGCACAATGTTGCTGCTTTGCATCCCATTGGGGTTCCCTTTGGGAAGATGTTAATTTTTTCTTTTTTTGCTCTTTTGTAAGCTTGTCCCTCCCAAGGTACACTCCAAGGCTTGGAGGCCGGCACAGTGGCCTCCTTGTCCAAGCCTTGTGGGAGCACATTGAAAGGCCTGTGTGTGTAGGGAGGTTAGCTTCACACTTTGGCTGCCTCCCAAGGGTAAAGCAGGCACACTGCATGTTATGTGGGGCAACAAGTGCCAGTGGCATAGGGCTCTTGCAGGCCAGTTCAAAATAATAAGGGGATCAGAAAGTGTACAGTTAGATACAACCTTCGAAATGGGCTGACTGGGCTAGTTGGTTGTGCATACTTGAGGTTAACAGTGCGAAAAAAAAAACACACGGCGGACAGTAAAAAGACAGGACAAGCGCTGACTTCCAACTGAAATTTTATTGACAAGAGTGAACAGAAAAAACAGCCAAAAAAGAGACAGATGCGAAGATACGAAATATCAACACTGAGCCAGTTACCGCGACCCTCGCACCCTAACAAACATAGCTCTCTTTCTGACAGAGCAACTGATAGCTTGCTTACGCATGCGTTCCTTTCAAGCGCCATCTGAACAGCCTCATAGATTATTATACGCTCGTGCTCTGATTTAATGTTACCTAGAACTGTTGCCCCTTTGAACTGCAGAGTGCACCCTTACGTGTAGCGCGAGGAAACCATCTTTGCCATTACCAAGGTTATTGGAGGGTTCCCGTTAGCGTTCATTTAGGCATCTGCCTATCTGGCCCACAAAACATGCACTGCAAGACAATGGGATCCTGTATACAATGTTTAGCGCACAGTCTACAAACTGTGTCCTGTGCCACGGTATTAGAACTATTATAGGTGAATCGACAACACTTCCGGAGGGAAGAACTTCTGTCCCTGTTTTGCGGAGAGGGCCCGAGATGGGGCCACAACGACCGTGGCTCAGGCGCAGGTCGTGAAAGCAACTTGAGGGAATTGAGGCTGGCCCGCTGCCTTTGCGCGGGCTTTCCCGCCTTTCTGCCATTCTCATGTCCCGACATGTCTGCCCTCCTTTGCTGTCTGCCGCGCTGGGAAGGGCGGAGTGACGTTTAACTCCCTCACCCGGTAGCGGATGTTGACTGTGGCGCCGCGCGGGGAGCCTCCCGAGAGGTTTTCGCGCGCTGCGTCGGGAGCGGTGAGTACAGTCCGGGACTTCAAACGGTGAGCCACGCATTCTTTTCCGTCCGTCGAGTCCCGTCGCTCGGGGCTCGTCGGACTTCGCTGACGGCGCCTCGCGCCCGATGCGAACGCTCACCT